TCTTACTAAGATACAATTTTCGTTATCTGATCGGTATGCAACGAAGAAAAATCCAAATTCCAACCGAATGGAAGTAATTCCGTTTATCGAAAAAAAAAAAAATATATATATATATATATACGATTTACAGACACAAGGACGATCGAGTACAGTCTTGTTACATCACACGCATACGCGCGCGCATACGCTCGCGCGCATGAAAACACGTAGTATATAATTACTTCTCTGATATTTCGATCATTTCCCTCAAGCATGCGACCGTGCCGCATCGAAAACAAGAATAATTTATGCTTAAAAAGACTTCACAAGAGACTTAGTCAAGAACTTTTTTAACGATAAAATCGTTCGACTCGTTAGGCATTCTCGATAAGTATTCGCCGAGGCGATATTCCGAATATTTTTTTTTCCTTTTTTTCTTTTTTCTTTTTTTGTTGTTTTCTTGACGTGCGATAAAGTGTAATCGGTTGTATCGCTGGCCGCATCGCGACAAATCGATCCGTCGCTCAGACCGCGAATTGATATTTGTTTCTCTTTTCAACGCGTTTACATGTGTTTGAACATTGTAGATCGTGTAGCGAGCGGAGCATGAGCTCTCGTTTGCCGAACGCTTTCGTTTTCATTCATATGTATATCTTCACAAAGGGAGAGAGAGAGAGAGAGAGAGAGAGAGAGAAAAGAGCAAAAAAAGAAAACGATTTAAAATGTTAATAATTTACGTAGAACACGAGTATCTTTTGTAAAACGGCTACTCTGCAAACGAAGCGTAAACGCGTGCATGCAGCTTGTTGCAACAAAGAAACAAGTTCGTTCCTCGTATTGTGTTCGTCGAGTACACATGGATATTAAAGAAAAGAAAAGGAAATGAAGAAAAGAAGAGAGATCACGATGTACTCGTACGACAACCAATTATTTCGGGATAATCAAACAGCAGAAGCGGCAAGCGGTATGGTTGAGCGTATTAATATTGAATTCGTATTTCGGGGAGAGTCGTTGGTCGTGTAAAACGATCGATCGTAATACGACTGTCGAAAACCCGACTCGTCCTCGAAATATATCCTCCCCGAACGTTCACGATCTCGTTGATCGCCCCCTCCCCTCTCCCCTCCCCCTCTTCGATTCGCTTCGTGGAAAAAATTCATTCGCAATTAATCGATGTATGTTCAGCGTCTTTCGCGAGTGAACAATAAATACTTTATTACTTTGTAAAACTCGAAAACGTGGGCTGCTGCGAGAAGATCCAAAAAACTCGCGGGAACCGAGAGAAACGTAATCGGTTTTTTTTTCTTCTTTTTTTCCTCTTGCTTCTCTTCCACATGAGTTCGCATTTCGATCTCGGTTGCCAGGTCTTAGGTTCTGCCGTGTCCGCCGAGTTTCGAGCTTAGTCGAGATTAAATATTTTAATTTCGCTAGAGCGAAAGTCCGCCGAACGTACGAGAATATATATCCCACGCCTATATCGCTCATTTTTTTTTGTTTTTGTTTTTTTTTTCTTCCGTTTTCCTTTTTCGTTTTTCGCACTTCGTTATGCTAGTTGAATCGTTAATAATCATTACAATCTATACTGTGTACGCTTATCGTTCAGTCCTATCACGTACTATCACCGTTATACAAAAAAAAAAAAAAAAAAAAAAAACATACACGATATATATAAACGTGTCAAACGACACTACCATTCGGAGCAACTCGTGCTTCGCGCTCCGTACAAAAAAAAAAAAATTACAATACGAAAACCATCGATTCGTCGAATACATATATGCATATATCGCGCGACCACGATAGAAAGACCATTAGATAGAAAGAACATAATAAAAAAAAAAGCTAACGAAACGAAAGTAGTAAACGACTTTCCTTAACCTAAGGCACCTCCGACTGCGTGAATCGAGGACTGCGAGCGGGAGAAAAAAATACAAAAAAAAAAAAGAAGGAAGTAAACGGTCCTCGACCACAAAAAGAATCATCCGCCTATTCTCTCGGTGCCTGGAATCGCAAATTAACACACTAACTATAATCTGATCCTACTGTCGAGTCGGCGAAAAAAAAAATAGGCTCGCGCGTGATTTGATTTCGATTCTCGTTCCAGTTTCGGTTCTAGAAACGCAATCGAGTCTGCGTACGAACGCGAAGCGAACTTTAAGTACGACGCGGTCCTGTCTAAATCCTTCGTTATTCGTTCTAGCGAATTGTTTTCCTCTTCACTTCTTCGTCGCTCCTACCATTTGGTATCCAGATTGCACTTCTCCATCGACGACGTGGTCGACGACGTGGACGTCTTGCGTTCCGCACCAGGAGCGGCACTGCCACAGAATGGACTAGTCCGTTTGTTCATTTCTGAAAAACGGATTGTTGCGATCGTTAAAAAAAAAAATCATCGCACAGCCGATGCGATTACTACGTACCAGCGATTAACAACATTATTTTACGCCTTGCGCCCCAAGCGGTTATCCCGATTTCGTACAGGTCTTTCTCCGTCAGCGAGGGGAACGTAGCCATGTCCACTTCGTGGGACGTGAACAGGCCTAGCAAACAGAAAATAAGCAGCACGGTGGGTGTGTGACGATGATCGAACAAGCAGATAGAGCAAGCAAACTCAGGCTGGGATTTGAGCAGCGAGCAGACCAGATTTTGACACATTGAATTGTCAATTATTTCAATCTAACGTTGAGCTGATGTTAACAACGACTAACGAACGAAAGCGAAACTTGCAAACAGTGATTCCACTTACGAATATACTTCTCCAGTCCAACGCTGACCAACATGGTGGTCAAA